CCGCCGCGGGCGCTCGGCCTCCCGCCGGACCCGGCAGCGGGAGCGCCGGGCAGCCCCGGCCCCGCCGCCCCGCCACCCGCAGGAGGCGTAGGGCCAGACCCGCGCCCAGGAGCCGGTGCATGGCCCCCCGCGTCTTCTGCGGACTGCGGTCCGGGTCCCGGAAGTCCTGCCCGGGAAGTCCCGCCCCCCCGGGGCCGAGCGCCCGCCGATTGGTCGGGACGCACTGACGTCACCGCGTCCGCCACGCCCCGGCTAGCGCGGTACCGGTCATGGCGGTGGCGGCGCGGGCCCTCATGCTGCCGGCAGTGGTGGAGGAGCTGCTGAGCGAGATGGCGGCGGCGGCGCGGGACGGCGCGCCGAGTACGGGCTGGAGGCTTATGCGGCGGCGCCGGCGGGGGCGGAAACCCGGGGTACCGGGGCGGGGTTGCTGGCCCCTACGAGGGAGGTTTCTATTGACCTCGTCAGTAGCCCTTCCTTCTCAAAATCTGTGTTCGCTCTAAACGAATCCTCTCCTACACCCTGTTCAACGAGCGAATATTTCAGGGCCGCAAACCCGGCTGCAGACGCAGCGACTTGGGGTGGGCGGGGGCGGTTCTGGACGCTGTGGCTGTACCTGTTTTCCTTTGACCAGCAGAGGATGCTCTGTGACCAGGTTCCCGCATCCCTGGGCGTTCGCAGCACACACCGGTATTGAGAGGGTCCTGATCGAAGTGCATCTGCATGAGAATTGGGCAACCAGCGTCCGAATGGTCATTGAATAAATAGATTAGACCTCAGAACTGCCCCTGCTGGTTCACTTGGATAGCTTTTGTTTGAAAAGGACCGCACTTTGAAAGGATTTATCTTGAGTTACTGTTTTTAAAGAATTGAGAAAAGGAAGCCAACTTTTCTCATTTCAGTTAAAACTAAAGCAGTATATGTGCTTAAAAGATTAGGCCAGCCAGGTATTCAAACATGTTCTGATCCCAGAAAGGGTGGGGGGGGAAAGCCTGTCTGTTGTCAGCTCAAACAGTGGTTGCCCGAGATGGGCTCTGTGTCTGAATGGATTAATCCATACACTGAGAGTCTTGAAGGGGGCCTGCAGGTGCCCCTGATGCTCAGGACTCAGAGCGACCACTACCACTGACTCACGTTTATTTTCAGCAGAACCGTTTCCTGCTATTTAAAAATCTTTGTTCTAGTTAGTCATACACTCTTCCTGACCCCCACCCTTCAACGATAATTTCTTTAGGTCAATACTGAGTTTACACTTGTGATGATGTAAAATTGAGTCACAGCTGAGCCATGCAGGAAGCTAGGATTACGTTTCCTTTCCTGTAACTTTCTGCTTTCTCTCAAAACTGTCATACTTGTGTTTACTTTTTTATGTATCCCTAATTCAACCTCAGACTCTTTTACCAGTGTTCTAAATCGCTACTCAAGATGTTCAGGTGAATGTGATGTTTTATCAATTTCATGTTCCTGCAGGAGTCTCTCCTAGAGCCTTCAGGTGTGCTCTCCTATGGGCTGGCTGTCTCTTGAGATCTCCCTTCACCATTATTGTCTGGGGAATTCCCTTTACCTAAGTTGAGCCTTATATTTAGTTCACCCTACAATTTTCTTTTTCTCAGTTTGCTAATTTTATAGAGCACATACTCTAGTACCTTCCTGAAGAAGAGCACGAGATGTACTTTTTGAGGCTTTACATACCTGAAAAAGTTCTTTTCCTATCCTCACACTTAATTGATAGTTTGGCTAGGTATTGAATTATATGTTGGAAATACCATTTCTTCAGACATCTGAAAGCGTTATTCTGCTACCTTCTAACTTCTTAAACTTTCTTTCAAAGAGTCTTTATTTTAGCCCCCCTGCTTCCTTCCCACTCCAGAGCCATCTGGTGCCACCAGTTTCTGAGGTTTTTTTTAGCAGGAGGGGGTACTAGATTCTGAAGGGTAAATCAGGCTCTGATTTACACTCGGCTCTCCCATTGCTCACTTAGGATTCAGTGTTCTCAGGTCTTGTAAATTATTTTCCAGCTGTGTTTCTCCCCGTCCTCATCCTGGGGAGTTTATGCTTTTTTAAAAAATCCTTTTATTATTGTTTAGCAGAATATTGGGAAGGAGTAAAATTTGATGCCTATGTTCAATTCACCACCTTACACAAAAGTCTTTTTGGCTATAGTCTTTTCTCCTTTTTTTGATAAAATTATTTATCTTGGCTGCGTTGGGTCTTTGTTGCGGTGCACGGGCTTCACTCGTTGTGGCTCGCAGGCTTTAGAGCACAGGCTCAGTAGTTGTGGCGCACGGGCTTAGTTGCTCCGCGGCACGTGGGATCTTCCCGGACCAGGGCTCGAACCCGTGTTCCCTGCATTGGCAGGCGGACTCTCAACCACTGCGCCACTAGGGAAGCCCCTGTTTATACTCTCTTTAAGATGTTTTTGTCTATGGTCACTGGTTTGACACAATTAACCTTTCCATTCCTGTTTTACAGTTCCTGATGAGCATCTGTTATCGTAAGTATATATCCTGTTGTATTTGGGTTTTTTTTTTTTTAAATCATGAATGTGTTTTTTAAAAGCCAAATTCTTTCAGCATCAACTCTTGATTTTTAAAAAATATTCTTACTAAACTAGGAACAATATTTTCTTTACATGATTAAAAATCTGTCTCAAGTGAATAACCAACACTGTATTTGACAGTACAAGGCATTCCCTTATTGTCCTAATTGCCACTTTAACATTGCTTTAAAAGTTGTAGCTGTTACACGAACACATGAAAAAATGAGAAGTACACTTGATCCTTGAACAACGCAAAACAAACTATGTGTGTCCACACATAGTGATTTTTTCAGTAAATACATACTGCAGTGCTATACCATGTGAGGCTGGTTAAACCATAGATATGGAGAGCAGCTTAAAGTTATATGCAGATTTTCAGTTGCTCAGAGGGTCAGTGCCCCTAATCCCCGTATTGTTCAAGAGTCAGCTGTATGCCTATCTGCAAAGAGAGACAATTGTCATTATTTGTAGGGGACATAACTACTTTTTAAACACCAAGAGAATAAAGTGTTTTTTTTTTAAATACAGAAACTAATAATTATTTTCCTTCATACACAAAGTTCAAACATTAATTACATTCTCAATAGCAAGAAAAAAGTGAAAGCTACCTAGGAATAACTAAACATTTAACTGCACATAAACATTTATATTTAAAAACTCCTGAAGGATATACACCAACTTATACCAGAGGTTATCTTAGGGGGGAGGAAGGAGGTGCAATTTAGAAAAGGGCTTTAACTTTTTCTCTATTTCTTAAATTTTTTACAAAGATTGTACATTATGAAAAAAATTACTACATTTAAAACAAAGAAAATAGGCAAATAATAAAAGAATTCAAGTTACCAAAAGCTTTGACAAAAAGCTAAATTTTACTAGTGATCATAAAAATACAAATTAAAATAATTAGATAACTTCCCATCTATAAAACCTGGGTATCACAGAAAAGATGTTGGTAAGAATCTTCCAGATGTTGGCAAGAACATGGAGAAAAGGATAACTGATATCCTGATGGTAGGAGTGTAACTTGGAAGGTAAACTGGCAACTGGGAACAGGAGCTTTAAAATATACATATTCTTTGACCCAGAAATTCCACTTATAAGACTGTATCTCAGGGAATTAATCATGGATGTTTAAAGACTTTACAGTGAGCACATTCATCCACTATTGTTTATGGTAGCAAAAAGAAAAAAACACCTTGAAACAATCTAATTATTCAAATTAAATTTAATAAACTCTAATTATCCAAAAAATAGAGTTGGGGAAAATAAAAGTAATTGATCTTTACAGTGGAATTCTTTATAACCATTAAAAGTGGTTAAAAGTGCATTGAGATATTCACAATATGTTATGAAGCAGACAAGGCAGGTTAAAAAAATTCTTATTAGATCCATTTTTAAAGTTAATTGGAATTATCTCTGATTGATAAAGTTATTCCCAGATTTTATGTCTTTAGTTTTCTTTGCCCATAGACAATCATCCTATGTTTAATTTTAAACACTTTTCCCATTCTAACAGTTTGTTATAGTCACAGACTACTTTGTTAGAAAATGCAGAAGTTGAACGTTTTAATTTTAAAGCCTTAGTAGTGCTGTCTTCTTATTTCGTGTCAAATCCTAAGGGTTCTTTAAAACATTAACTTTTTAGTTTTAGTTCAACCCAGCCATTTTATCTTCCAGTTTATAAAAATAACCCATACTTGTAAATAAATAAATGAAGTCCTTGGAAATAAAACATCAAAAGCATCAATAATCATACAAGCCAATGATAATCACTGTTAAAATTTGGTTTATCGCCTTTTTTTTTTCCAATGTAATGTTTTATTTTGAGGTAATTGTAGATTTTCTTAAGAAAAAAATTTTTAACATGATGGAGAGTTTCTAGATATAAAATACGGTGCCCGACCTTCTCACCTAACATATTGTAAGAATTTTCCCACATATCACAGTTTTTCTGGTACATCATTTAACAGCTGGATAGCCTTTATTACTGATCCATAAAGAACAAATTTAACACCCATCAGATGGTCAAGCATGAAAAGGCCTGACAATACAGGTGTTGGTGAGGATGAGAAGGAAATAGAACTCTCATATGGCGCTAGGGGGAGCACTGTTTCCGTGGTGGGAAGCTGTTGGCAGCGCCCATTAAAACTGAAAACTGCATATATCCTAAGACCCAGCAGTTCCGCTTTCACTTACATAACCAGGAAGGACGCTCATATATGTGCCCCAGGGGGCATGTACGGGGATAACTGAGTATTCATAATAGTGTCAAATGGAAACATTCAGAATGTCCATCAATAGAGTACTTAAAAAAATAAGAGTATTTAAAACATAAAATGTATTATGTACATACAATAGAATATTATTCAAAAGTTAAAAAAATATATATATATACACACAAATATATACATGCATCATTCTCAGAAGTACACTGAGTGGGAAAAAGAAGTTGCCAAAAAAGGCTACCATATACCTTTTGTTTTAAAACTTATAAAACGATACCATATGTATATATGTATGTGTGTATATATATGTATGCACACACACACATGCACTATGTATTATAAAATATAAAAACATGAATAGGGAGGAAACCATCAGATGCATGTGGTTGCCTCGGGGATGAAGGAAGTTGGGACGAATAGGAAAGACTGAAGTATAAAGAGGACTTCTTTATCCAAACAACATGTCAACATTTATTCTGGGGGGTTGATTACATGGGGTCATGTTAACATTTATTCTGGGGGGTTGATTACATGGGGTTTTGCTGTATTGTCACCTTTTTTTTTTTTTTCCCAAATTAAAATGAACTGAATTTTTAAAAACTGCCGATGGCGATCCTTTGGGTCAAGTCGCAGAGGTGGCTTGAGTCCAGCCGTCTATCCTGAAGCTTCTCTGCTCCCCAGGCTGAAGTTTGTCTTTGGCTCATCCGCCGTCCAGGCCTTGGACCTCGTTGATCGCCAGTCCGTCACCTTAATCTCATCACCCAGTGGGAGGCGTGTTTACCAGGTAGAGACCTAGAGGTGGGGATTATCTCAACAGAATCCCCGTGGGACAAAATGTTCTCATGAATCTCTGTGAAAGCTGGTGACCAGCCCTGAGTATTTCATGGGCTTTTGAAAAGCATTTGACCCAACTTGGTAAAATTAGAGTATGAGTAGTTAAAATAAGATAAACATGACCTGTTAGCTCTACCTGGTAGCAATGTGTGGAACCAGCAGTGACGCAGAGAGGCTCTCTTCTCTGGTCTGACGGAGCACAGCCAACTTTTGCCTTCCTGTCATTTAATACTAGAGGTACTTTCCCACCCACCCACCCCCCCGAAAAGCGCTGACTCCATCACCTTGTTACATTATCTCTTGCTTACAAGCAAAAACCAAAATGTATTTTGAGGTCCTTCCACATGTCCAGATTCATCTCATAGAAATGATCTGTCAAAATTGTTGTCAAGAAGTGTTCACGAAGGCCAAACTGCTAAATTCAGGCAGTTTACTTGGACCTTAGTTTTGCCCACTGGAGCTGAAGGTAGGTAGATTTGTAAAGTAACAGATCAGACTCTTATCAGACTCCGAATTACTTTCATGTATTGATAATTCTCACCAAAGGCCCGGAAAGATATTCATTGTGCCGAAAACTGAGGTGCAGAAAATTAACAGTCACCTCCGGCAGTGGGGATGTGTAAAGGCCATCCTACACTGCCTGTCTGTACATCAGCAGTGGGCCACACTCCCCACCCCCAGTTTAGCTACATTAGACAGTGGTACCTGCCGCTGGGATTGAGCAAAGGGAATCTTGTGAATGAAATTAAACAGCAGCAGTGGTCTCCAAAATTTTGTGTCTGGCTTGGAAGGAGTGAAAAGGAAGCTGTCAGCTCTTGTCTTTAGTCCAGGCCTTGCTGAAGACCAGGAAGGAAGGGTTTTTCAGTGTTTGGATTCTGGTTTCTTTATGATGACCTTCTCAGAGTTAAGACCGCGTTGACTCATTCTTAGTGAGTGAGTGACTGGGCAGAGCCTCTTGGGTACATGGCTGGCTTTGCCTAGTGAACTTCCTTGCTGTTCCACACTGCAGGGTGGCGCGGCCAGCCTGGCACGTCCTCCCGCATCTCTGCGTGAAGTAAGCTGGGTGATCCATGCTGAAGGCTGCAGCTGAAACTCTGGGTTGTGTTTACTTAAAAGAGGCGCTGCTGATGAGAATTTCCTCGTGGTGAGCTTCATAGATGAATAATCGGCACTTAATAAGTGATACTGTTCGTACCTGAGGAAGGGTTTCCATCTTCTTTCTAGAGTATTTATTTTTGGTTTTTATGTAGCTAAAATACCCTCAACGGGGAGGGCCTCGGAGTTTTCCCATGTCTTTTAGTTTCGGATTTTTTGTCCCAGTTCCAACGTCAGCAGAACCCCTGACCTGCACAAGCAGAGTCCCAGCTGCCCTCTAGTTCTGGGATCTCACTGTTAGTTAAAATCTTAAAGACTCTGAAATATTTCAGTTATTGTTGACTTCTTTGTTCCTCCCAGGATCACTGTGACTTGTTTAATTTTCATCATTCACATTCTGTATTACATCATGTTGCTTTATTCGTCATAAAAATGCTAACTTAGAATTGTGGCTGTCAGCTTGGACTCTGAATTAAATGAGGCTGTAGAAATCTTATAGACGCCCTCAAATCAACCTTAGTGGTTCCACTGTATGTAGTAACATAGGAAGAGGTCCTGTGAGATGATAAAAGCTGAGTCAGACATTGCCTTCTGGCCCTGCTACTTATCGTTCCATAGGGCAACCTTCTAATACCTCACTCCCTCCAGGTCTAGTGGAAATTATCCTAAAGTCACACTGACCTTGTTACCTGACTTGCTTTTTCTGATAAACTTTGGTCCATCCACTGACGGCGGTGCGTCAGTCAGGAGGTGCTAAATAAGTCAGGCTGTGGTAACAATGACCCCCAAATTTCAAAACAAAGTTTGTATCTCACTCACTATACATCTCCATTAAGAGTCAACTGCAGCTCTGCTCCAAAACATCTTCAGTCGGGGTCCCAGTCGATGGAGCAGCCCCTGTCTGGAACATTGCGGATCTCACAGCAGAAAGAAAAGAGGACATAGTATGCACCCATTTTTAACGTTTCTGCTTGGCTACTCACATTTTACTGGCTAAGGCAGGTCACACAGTCAGCCTGTATCTAATAGGGCGGGAATGTATAATCCTCTTTCCGAGAGAGGCACCGAACTCGGGGAACAGTAAATAATACAGTTCACCACTGTGATGGATGCTAAGAGGCTTGGAGCAGCCATAAAGTAAAACTGTCCTTGTGAGTGGATGACCATGCAGGTGGGTCAGTCACCTTAGAACCTCACTGAAACCGTAGCAGACTTCCTCCAGGCAAGGTGCACACAAGTCCAGCCTGGGTTTGAGTATCCTCTTTCCTGCATTTCTTTTTTTAAAAGCTCTCTCCTTCTGGGGATAAACATTCCAGGCTCTGAGCGGCTGAACTGGGAGCATTTCCCGTGAGAGGAGGGGGTTTTTCCATTGAAGGGTGAAGGAAGTGAAGTAGATGGTCCCTGAGGTCAATTTCTAGTTCTAAACGTATCCAACTCAGATCTCTGCCTGATTATTGGGTTCGTTAGTTGTCCACTGCTCGATAAAGACGAAGCAAATTCAGAGCTGACTGTTCGTATACAGTATTCACTGCCTCGGGCGGCTGAACGTTTTGAGTCCTAGCCAGCCTTTGAAAGGATCAGCAAGGGGACCTCCTGTAGAAACTCTCCCCGTCCCTGAGTTACCGGCACTCAGCTTCATCCAGAGAGTATTCTAATGGGCTGGGGACCCACCATAAGAAGGAACTTGTCAGTGCAGAATTCCAGAGGCTTATGCCTAGTTAAATGTAAATCCAGAGAGAAGAGGAAATCTGAAGGTTTTTATTCATTGGTGACAGTTTGGAGACGCAAGAATTGTTGGTGTCACTGCTGGATGTTGATGGGTTTTCTTGCAGGACTCAGTGGGAAACAATCTGCTTTAATGCTCTCCCTTCAGCCTGTGTTTTCCAGACACTGGGGAGATTCCTGCAGTCATTCTCAGCGTCCACCACCGAAAACACGTCAGCGCCCCAGGACTGGAAATCTGTAACATGTGATTTTCTTCACACCTGATTTGTAACTGGGGCTGAAATTTTTAATGGGAACAGTAGGCATCTTCTTACCCAGTCATGGGCCATTTCTGGTAATCTTGCAGCCCCCAAGGAATTCTCCTGACTTGGTCAAGAAACCTTAGCGACATGGCCGCGTCACGTGAATGCCAGGACATTTGACAAACAGGCACAGCACATGCCTGAACACTGCTGTTGCTCGGTTGAAGCCTTACCTGCTGCTTTATTCTTCGTGAGGAGAAAGAGGAGCTCTGGCATTTGTTGCTTTTTAAGTCCTGGCCTTTTCATGTAGATGGCCACCTCAGAGCCTGCAAAACGTGGGAGCCCTGTGGCAATCCCTAAGTTGCGGTTCATGTGAGCTAGCCCTCGGGGTGGCGCCGCGTGCCCAGGACGCTCCTTTTGCCAACAGTTTGCAGAGTGTTTATTTATCTATTTATTTATTTATGTATTTATTTATTTTTGGCTGCGTTGGGTCTTTGTTGCTGCGCGCAGCCTTTCTCTAGTTGCGGCGAGCGGGGGCTACTCTTCGTTGCGGTGCGTGGGCTTCTCATTGTGGTGGCTTCTCGTTGCGGAGCACGGGCTCTAGGCGCGCGGGCTTCAGTAGTTGTGGCTCGCGGGCTTAGTAGTTGTGGCTCACGGGCTCTAGAGCGCAGGCTCAGTAGTTGTGGCTCGTGGGCTCTAGAGCACAAGCTCAATAGTTGTGGCGCACGGGCTTAGTTGCTACGCGGCATGTGGGATCTTACCGGACCAGGGCTCGAACCCGTGTCCCGGGCATTGGCAGGGGGGGGGTGAACCACTGCCACCAGGGAAGCCCTGCAGATTTAACTGTAGGAATGAAGCCCTCAGCTGTGTCTTTGGCCGCTTCGTGGTGGAGACATAAATAGGCGATTTCTCCGTTTGTCCAGTCACACTCCAGATGCAGCATCACTTCCCTGGACGGCCTCTCCTCACCACTTGACTGACAGCAGGCCGTCTGCTCTTGGACGGGCGTTTGGCAGGCGGATTCTTAACCACTGCCACCAGGGAAGCCCTGCAGATTTAACTGTAGGAATGAAGCCCTCAGCTGTGTCTTTGGCCGCTTCGTGGTGGAGACATAAATAGGCGATTTCTCCGTTTGTCCAGTCACACTCCAGATGCAGCATCACTTCCCTGGACGGCCTCTCCTCACCACTTGACTGACAGCAGGCCGTCTGCTCTTGGACGGGCGTGTTCCCAGCCCTCGTATCTATGCGCTCCTTCCATCCTGCTGGGGAACAGGCAGATCTGGGCTTACCGCGCTCCGAGACAGCCGCCCGATCATCCCGTTACAAAATTCTCTGCTTCCTATGTTCCTCCTGTTCTCAGATGCTTTTCAGGAGCCCTTTCCCGTTTTCTTCTGAAGACCTGTCTTTCTGCCTCACCGCCAAGCCTTCACCTGTTTTCAGACTCCCTTCACACGTGTGGTGGAAGCTTTAGACGTTTACACACATGCTGTGAAATACCAGAGGCTGAGAAACACCACGATGAAGTGCAGATGAGGGGCTTCTCTCCTCTGCCTCTTTGTAGTCAGCCCGGAGTGGGCCCTCTGAATCACCGGCCACAGGGATGGTGTAACCCACCCGAAACGCTTCCGTTGAGTCCTGTGGAGTCCTCAGGGCAGAGCCCTAAGGCAGCGGGAAGGTCCCGCAGGCAGGGAAGTCGAGTTTCCACTTCTGCGGAAGATGTTCCTACGGTTCTTCCCAGCGCAGAGCAGCTCCGAGTCGTCAGGCAGATGAATTCGGGGGAAGGGGATGGTTTTCCAGCACGCCTCTCCAAGTCTGATCCCATCTGTCCTTTCCCTTCTAGGTACTTGGAAGTTCCGGTAGAACATACGTGTGTTTGGCCTCTTGTCATTACTGTTCGTGTCCGGCATTTGCCTTCTCAGTGCTGCGGAAGGGTGACAGCCTCCTGGTGAGGATGGGAAGGGCCCCCCCAACTGCGGCTGAGCTAGGAGAGAGAGTGAGAGCCCTCGCTGCGCCGTTTAAGAGCTGCACCAAATGGGGGTTTTACTACATGTGGAAACAGATAGTAGTTTCTTCTCTTTGACTTCAGTTAGTCCTCTCTTTTGGGTTTACCCTCCCAAAATGCAGTGTCAGTTTTAGAACTGCACCAATTTCCCATTTTAATTTAAAAGGTCACAGATGAAGCTGTGGGGAGGGCAACAGGTAATCCCCAAAGTTGGCAACTGGGGAACCAGTCGGCCCAATAGAAATATGAACTAAATTGATGCTGGCAGCTTTGCACACCCCCAGCTCCACGTCCAGCCTTGAGGTGTTTCTTCCCACTCCCCATGAGACAGCCTGGCACTTGGCCACGCTCGACTCTCCCGGGGGCAGGAGAGCACACCGGTGCCTCTGTTGACTTCACGGAGTCCAGGGCATCAAGCAGGAACAAGACACACTCACAAAACTCCTGATTCCACAGGAGAAAGCACTACCCAGCCGAGAGCAGGTAGCTATGTTTTAAGTCTTGCCAAAGGAAGAAAATTATAGCACCCGCTGAATTCTTCCCCTTGCTTTTACACTGTTAATTACACACCTCGGGAACTGGGTGGCAGGTTGAATGTCCCATTGTACAAGAAGCCACATTCACAGCTGATTTCACCTGTAAAATGACAGGGTTCAGGCAGGCCCTCCAGTAACCTAAGCTGTGTGTGCTATGATACAAGGTCCAGCACAGGTCCTCTCCCCAGAGGTGTTACAGGCCGAGCTTTGTGAGGGTCCTGCCACCCCTGCCCCCGCCCCCGACACCGCGCCCCGGAAGTCTAATAGCGGTGAAGGGACTACACTGTAGACTGAGCATGTGTGTAAGATGGGGATAAGACCTGTCCCCCTGGGGGGCTTAAATGAGATAATCTTATTATCGCATTATTAAATAATTCTCTTATTAAGTGAGATAAACTTTAAGAAGCACTTAGCACAGTACCTCAAGGAACGTTAACCATTACTATTAACAGCTTTCTGAAGGCGAGGAAGAAAGAAATATAATTTAGGACTAAAATAAAGAGCCTGTCTCAGTTTTTCCTTGGTTTTACCTGTACCAAGCTGGATCTAAACTGTTGCTCCAAACAACAGGCAAAGGAAAACCTCCTTTGTCCCCACTGCCTCCTAGAAGGTCTCATCTTTGTCTGCAGTTTCAGACAGTGAGTGAGAGGCGCACAGTCTGTGTGCCCCACTCCTTTCCTGCTACATGTGATGGTGGTGAGAGGTCTGGGTTAGTCCGGCCCCTCCAGTTTCTAACTGGTTTGTGTGTTTTGTGTTCCAGTGCAAGCACCTCTTGGCAGTTTATCTTAGTCAGGTTATGAGGACCTGTCAGCAGCTGAGCGTCTCTGACAAGCAACTGACTGATGTATTATTGATGGAAAAGACACAGGAAGCATCATAAATGGCGCAGATGGAGCATCACACTGTCCTTCAACACAGGAGTCCTGTCCAGGACACACGTGACTGGCCACACGTGATTCACGCGGCGGAGACGTGAACCAGACTTCCTGTCGCTGTCCCTTCCCCTTGGGCTGCAGGAGGCATTGTGGGTTGGGCCCAGGATGTGTGTATGGTTTGAAGCCCTCGTGAAAAGTCTGCACCAGCCTCCAAGCCCCTTGTGTAGAAAATTTCCAGATGGAATCAAGCGTTTTAGACTCCAAAGCCTAACATCATGTCATGGTCATAATCAGTCAGACTCTTAAGTGACTAGAGTACTAGTCATTTTTAGGAGGTTGGAGCGGTAGGTGAAAGAGCAAGCTGAAGTTCATAGATAAATAAGCATCAGTCCTTTCTCTTGGGCCCAGAAAACTGCAGTAGAAGGTTAGAGCGGAGATGTGGCTAAATGGCAGCAAAGACAAAAAGCCATCAGGGTTCTGGTTTCAGTGAGCTGCAGAATCTGTGGTGTTGAGGCCAAAACAGCTGATTAAATAGGCTGTATTGTGAGAAAGGTAGCACCTAGGACAAGGAAGTGCCGGTTTGCTCTGCGTGCCCTTCTGAGCTTTGTAACAAGCCAGATGAGGGAAGCCGGAGACGCTGCTGGGGATTCCCAGTCTGAGGAAGAAAAGGCTGAGAGATCCCAAGAGGATGTCGGGAGGGAGATCAACGGGACGCATCCGGACCCCAAGAGAGAGCAAAGGAGCAATGAGGGATGAAAAGGAACACGAGACAGATTTCGGCACAGGACAGGAACTTTTCATGGGGAAGGCTGTCCGCAGCTGGAACAGGGTCCTAGAAGGACAGGCTCTCCCTGTCTCTCTAGGGGTTCGTGAGCCTGCAACATGCTCGCAGGGTTACTGCTGAAGGAATCGAGTCAGCGACCAGACAGGTGAAATAGATGGTTTTGCAGCCTCAGACAGCCCCCAGTCCTGTGCCCCGCAATGTGAGGTGCTAATGAATGACTGTGGGAAAGGCCGCAGATGGCACAGGGCTCTGTGGTGGCAGAGCCTTCTCTTAGGTCGAGGTGTGGCGAATAAAACCTATCAAGACTGTGCTACTTGGCAAACTTGGGCTCGGTGTAAACTTATTTCAGGATAAAGAACGGAAGGTAGGTGAGCTCTGCACAGCAAGCCGGCGCAGCACCCTAAACTGTATTTTTTTTTTTTAAGTTTTATTTTTATTTCACCTCATACATAAACACAATTTTCTAACTTTCCTTAGTAAAATTTTCACTTTGGATTCCAGCAACTTGGACAAACTTGGGAGAGAAGTAAAATTCACTATCTAGGAAGGGGGAAACAGAATCTGGTGGCAGAGGGATCCCACTTCTCCAGTTTCTTCCTTTAGGGTAGTTTGCTGTACATGGAAAAGACTGTTATCAAACCTGTCATCTGATGACATTCTACTTAAGAACTTATGAGACTGTCATTTCCCTAATATGGCAGGGTCTTGATTGAAGAATTATACTTTTAATTTTCCTGGTCACCTTCCTCAGAACAAGTATATATTTTTAGTATGTCCAACTTTTTCCATTGCCTGCTAAGTTAAAAAGTATTTGTACTGTAATAGTTCACAGTGTTTCACAGTAAAATAGTTTCAGTCATTTTCTACCACGAAAGAGTAGACTCTTAAAAACAAAAAACTTTCTTTTACCATCCATTCAAGTCGTCGGCTTCATCAGCAAGAGCGGCCAGAGAACCGTGAACACATCTGCCGACCCTCGGAACCTACTAGTAACGTGTGCATATTAACTGGGGACGTGGTACCCCCGGGGAAGTGCTCTGAAGAGGCCACCTGCTGGCCTGTGAGGTGTAGCCGTCCTTCCAGTGAGAATCCGCCAGCCATGCCCTGTCCCTTTGTTACTGAACTTGTGCCTTCTCCTTGAAGAGGCCAGAGCCTAGGTCACAGGCCCACCTGGAGAGCAGGCTGCGCCCCTGCCTGCCCATCCCCACTCTTGCAGACGTCTGTCCGGCAGAGGACATACCTGGAGATGATTTTGTGGAAAGTGTAGCGGAAGTCTCGGTTCCGGTAGGCGTAGACAATGGGATTGACGACCGAGTTGGCGTGCGACAGGAGGATGGCCGTGTTCATGGCCCACGTGGGCTTCTCCTTGGCCCAGCCTGGCTGAAAGAGCGAGGCACAGTTGATGGCATGTACCGGCAGCCAGCACAGAGCAAAGATCCCAACAATCATGGCCAGGGACTTGGCCGCATGGACCTCCCGCTGGAGGACGGTCCTCGAGTGGTCCATGAGCTCCATGCGCTGGAGCTGCCTGCAGGCCACCAGGAAGATCTTGACGTAGATTACCAGCATTATGAGCAGCGGGGGCAGGACGCACGCGAAGAAATTGAAGTACACCATGTAGCTCATGGGGACCACGTTCTCAAAAAGACACCTCACGAGGCAGCAGCTGGCATTGGCGGTTCCATCCCGGGGCTCCGTGCAATTGGTGGCGCGGTCTTTACTGTTCCACCCCAGGAACGGGGTCAGGCCGATGCCCAAGGCGAGGACCCAGAGGACAGCAATGACCCCTCTTGCTCGGGCCCCAGTGACCAGACTCTTATACCTGTTGAAAAGAACAGCATCTGTTACCGCCAGCGTACAGCACTCTGCCACCAAAGTCCAAGACCCCACCTCTGCTTTTTGTTCCTTTACCCCTAACAGCCTCTACTGTTCAGCCTCAGAGGGCACCGTGGCCTTTTACCCTCAACACTAACAGCTCGCAAACAGGTATAAACAGCTTTGCTTTAACAAGCTCAAGAAGGTTTTCATTCTTAATAACTCACCTCTGTCTAATGACAAATCATGGTCGAGGAGAACAGGTGGAGAATTCTTAAAGGCTGCTTTCTAATCGCCCAGAGAATGACCTTGGGTCTAGGCCTCCTATGAGACACAGTTCTAGGGGGTCGAAATACACCAGGGAACGGAACCCATAAGACCCCTGCTTCTCAGGGACTTAACGTTCTAGCAGGGGAGACAGATCGTAATAAACAACAAGCATAGGTTAGTAAATTATACGGTATGTTAGAAAGAGACATGTAATGTGAAAAAAGAAAGCAGAGTGAGGAAGGTGAGCTGTGACAGGGACTAGTGTTAAAGAGGTCAAGCAGGGAGGCTTCACTGATAAGATGCCCTTGAACAAACACCCAACAAGTGAGGACCGGAGGCCCCTGGAGTCAGGCAGCCCCACCTGGTGACTCTGGGTGAGAAGCCTTCTGGTCGGTCTCCCACCAACACCCCAGGAAGAGTCATTACCCCTGAATTCCCCGATAAGATGCTGGAGAATGAGAGTTCTAGCAGCGTCCCTGGCTGTCCCGGCTAGCGGCGAAGTTGATAAAAACTGGGAAAGAACTGAGCAAACATCAAACCTTTTTAGTAATTTTTAGACCATTAAATCTTATTTAAAATCTCTCTAAAAATCGTAATACACATTTTGGACGTTTTGCTACAAGGTAGTCCATATATGGTTTATAGCAAAGGTATAAACTCTGCTATTCATAACTGGTCCATAATATGTATTTAACATAATGTATTGAAAAAAATGAAATAACATCTTTACTTAACCTCTGGGAAGAAAACTGGGTAACAACTGGATACACATTATCTTAAGACTCGTCTGTGGGAAGCGTCCGATCTCCTTCGCCTGCAGGATTAAGCTCACACTTCTCAGCATGGACCACGGAGCCCTCAGGCCACAGCCCCAAGTGCCCCTGCCTGCTGTTCCAGACAGCTGCTGCGTCCTGGCCCGGCTGCTCTCCTGTCTCAAAGGTCACCTTCTTTCCTGCTCACTTCGCAGGCGAAGGTGGCCTCTCCCACTCTCTGGCCTCAGACACACACCTGTCATACAGCTTGTTTATCTCTCACAGGTGTTCAACCTTTTAAGGACTTGGACCTTGTCCCTTTGATTTGGTGTCCCCAGGAGCTAGCATAGTGCCTGGCACATAGGAGGTTCTTAGTAAGGTGGCCATTACAAACACATTCCTGGCTTGCTACCAGACAGCTTTAAAACGGGCTTCTGCTTATTAGGAATGCCTGATGCTGTGGCCGGACAGGCAGCAGAACTGGTCCAGTTTGCGGGGGCAGTTAACTGAGGTCTTGCCTCATGCTGACAGTGATCCCTCATCTTCTCTGCTCCCTACAAGGGCAGCTCAGTTGTGGGGTCTTGACTACAGAGGACCTGCTGGGTGCAGCTGCTCGCTGAACTTTTCTGGGCCAATAAATCCATCTATTTCCAAATCCTTTCTGCTTCCCTCCTCATGCAGGAATGTAAAGCCATTCCTTATAAAAATGTTATTCCTGGCCATTGCCTTGCCAGAGACGTGAAGAATGCAATCAGTCCCTGTAGGGTAACAAGGCCACCGCCACCTGAAGGCCAAGCACTTAAGAGTCACAGAACTTCAGGCCCACGAGGCAGCCACGCCTCCACTGTTCACGGGACTCAACTGCACTGAGCTGTGTACAGCTGAACACAGACCAGCCCCGGGGGATGAGTTAGATCTGGGGTTACCATATTCTCTTGTCAGTCATGGTCTGGGATGGATACGGGAGGTGGTTCTGGCCAATGTGACTAAAGGAAGTCTGCTAGGGTACTTCCAGGAAAAGTTTTACTTGATAAAAGGAGAGAGACACACGAGGAGAGCTCCTCCCCATACTCATCCCTTTCTGCTTTTGATGCTCTTATGGGAGGCTGTGATGCCTAGAGCTGCAGCAGCCATCTTGTGACCATGAGGCATGAGCCTGAAAACAAAGGAAATGGCGAAGCAGAAGGGAGGAAAGAGTCCAGGTCCTTGATGGTGTCTTTGAACCACTACACCAACCCTAGAACCACCATGGCTCCATACTGTAGTTCAAGAGATAATTGATGGTCTTGATTGCTTAAGTCACTGTTACCTGCAGCCAAAAGCATGGTGCTCATACAAACTGGAAGGGACTTTCATCTTTTCTAGTCCAACTTCTCTTATTTTACAAATGAGGAACCAGACATACAAAGTCTTTAAGTAACAAAGGCAATACAAGAACCAAAGACCAATAAGTCAGGACTTTCAGGCCTCTGTTCCTTACACCACGTTATGCTGCCTTTTTTTTTTTTAATATTTATTTATTTATTTATTTATTTGGCTTCGCCGGGTCTTAGTTGCAGCACACGGGATCTTCGTTGAGGCATGCAGCATCTTTTAGTTGCGGCATGTGGGATCTAGTTCCCTGACCAGGGATCGAACCTGGGCCCCCCTGCACTGGGAGCGTGGAGTCCTAACCGCTGGACCACCAGGGAAGTCGCTATGCTGCTTCTTTTACGTGACTTTTTCCTAAGCAATATTAGACACGGAGTCCTCTGTACACAGAGGGATCCCAAGGGGTGGCTTCCTGGCAGAGTTCAAAACGACCGGAATCCACCCACATCTGAACTTCCCAAAACTGCTGGATCCTGAGCATATGAAAAACTACTTTTACGCTAAATCTTCTTAGATGAGGAACAGCAGCTGATTTCATTTGGGGAGCAGCTGGTCCCAGCCTTCTCCATGACCCCCTGCACCAGGGCCTTTCTCCCCTACTGGCTCATTATTTTATTCAGAGTTCTTCCTTGTATTACCACACACTCCGCTGGCACTGGAAACAGAATCACGGCCCTCGGGGTCTGTGAAGCTAACGGAAGAGACAGAAAATAAACAGGTAAACACTCCAAGGTACAATCACAAGTCAGAAGGAGTCTGGCCAAACCAAAAGGAACAGGTTGCAGATTAGAGAAAACCAGGAAGAGCTTGGACCCAGGGTGTCAGGGAAGCCTCTCAGGCAGCAGAGCCGGAGGTGCAGGGGGCAGGGAGGCTCTGAAAAGCGGGGAGAAGCCATTCTAAGCAGAGAACAGAATGTGCATGGCTTCCAGACAGGAAAGGGTTTCACCTTCCTAGAGAAGCAGAGGGGTGAGGCGGGCCCGTCCCCAGGCCGGGGGAAGGGGCTGGGGCTTGATACTCAGATACGCAGGTGCTGCGGGCTGCCACGAGGGCTCGAGGCGCACTGGGGGGACGGCACTGGTCCCGGCTGTGTAAAGCTCACTGTGGAGACTGAGTCTCAGGGCAGCCGGAAGGAAAGCAGAGCAGTTAGCAAACTACTGCAATGGTTAACTCGAGAAGATGTTGGCGTGGGGCAGGATGGCAGCAAAGACGGGGATCACCGACGCCCCCCACCCACCCCAGCAGCTCTGAACCACACGGCCACATGACACGCTGGGGGCTACAGACTCCCCCAGCCGCCAGCCGCACAGGGCACATCAGTCAGACACACAGCCGCCCCGCCTGAGCGCCGCTCTGCAGGCACCAGGCCCGCGCGCATCCCCCGTCTCGCCAGGTCAGAGCACCATCGCCAGCTACAGATGTGGAGGCTGAGGCTCCCACGCTTAAATGATTGGCCTGCTGCTCCTGAACTGCAGTCAGGACACAAACCCACCGACCTGATCTGATTCCGGTTTTGCCCAAAGCAGTCACTTTCCTGCTCAGGACGCCGTGGTTCTTCTCACAGATCCCAGCTCCCACCTCCGCCAGCCCCGGCTCTGCTGCCCTCTGCCCTGGCCAAAGCTGCCAGCCGTTCCAGGGATCCTCCACCCCCCAACTCCGTGGCCGGCCACCTGGGAAGCAGCAGAGGCCTCTGCTGCCCGCTTGGCAGGCAGTCCTTAAAAGGCGGCAGGGAGACGCTTCTGCTGGCAGACACAACCAGACCCACAGGAGGACGTGGGCTCCAAAGGCAGACACGCTTTTAGCACCGGAGCTGCAGCCCCATGATGGCAGAACAGTCCGTGTCCGCGAGACACTGCCTGGACCCGGGCACGGGTGGGAGACGGCCAGGGATGCTGGGGAGAGCAGGCCGGTGTCCCTGCACCGGGCGGGAGGCTGGGGGCATGACCCCCGGGTCTCTGGCATCTCACGGGGGGTGGTGGGCTCCGCTCCCCTCCCCCATACCCTCTCGTCTCCCACTTCCGGCTGGGCCTCTGTCCTCTCCCTGAGCGCCCCACTCCCACCCTGCCCACCCCTCGCTCCTTTGCTCCCCGAGCACCAGGGGCTCTCAGAGCATCCTCGTGTGTGCGCGCATGCCCCCCACATCATTCCTGAAAGGCGGGAACGTGTCCTTTCCTACAACCGCCCCAAGTGCAGGAGGAGTAAATGGAAGGCGATGAACAGAGGAAATGTAGGCGGCAGTATTACTCCAAGCAAGCAGGAACAATTCCAGCCCACACAAAAGGGGTGTCCTGGGAGAGTCCACCCTCTGGGAAGTGGCTGTGCCCCCGCTGTGCTGGACCCACCCATTCTCCATGCAAGGGGCTCATTAGCTATGGAGCCAGATCGAGAGACAGTCACAACTAAAGGGAACACTGTGGATGCCCGGGCTCACATCATGACAGAGGGCTTGCCAAGCGCTGCCTAACAAGCGCTGGCCTATTTCTGGGCCAGGGTCCCCCCCTCCGGCTCTGTAGCCCTCGGCTCAGACCAGGCCACACGCTCAGCCTCGGAAACCAGAATTCCCAGCGCTCAGGGTGCTCTAAGTGCAGCAGATTCCCAAGGGCAGCCACCCTGGCAG